GAGCAGCTTGGGTTCCGTTGTAGGTGGTGGAATGGCACCAGGTGTTAGACCCGTGGAGTCAGACCGGACCTGGGTTCAGCAACCTCGGTACTTGAGTTCTGGCTAGGATAGAATATAGGAAGACCCATTTTAAAATATATATGTTTTTATTGATTTTTTTTACAGAGAAAGGAAGGGTGAGAGAGAGAAACATTGATGTGAGAGAGATACATTAATAGACTGCCTCCTGCCTGCCCCTCACCAAGGATCCAGCCCACAACCCCAGCATGTGCCCTGACCAGGAATCGAACCTGGTCCTCTCAGTCCATGGGGCGATGCTCAATCCACTGAGCCACACTGGCTGGGCGCAAGACCCAAATTTTAAGATTACATTTATTTGGAAAATCACAGAGGTAGAAGAAATAATTTGTAGAAGAAATGGACTTAGGAAACAAGTTATAGAGATAAAGGAGCTTAGAAGTACGGACAGTAAAGGTGATGTGTCTGGGGGGAGGGAGAAAGGCCATGATCCTGGGGGGACAGTGCACTGGGTCCTCCATCCTAAGGATTTTAAGGGTGGAGAGTTTTAGGGGAGGTCCCAGGGGAAAATCTTAATAGAATATTCATCAGCTTTCCAGGTGTGTCCTTTCATGGTCTAGGTCTCCACTGATTGATCGGTGGGCGCCAGGGCAGGGGGTCATTATCCAATGCAGCTGCTTTTCTGGGCCTGGATGTTATCTATATGGAGGAAGGTCAGTGGGCCCAAACCACATGACCAGTGATATGCTGGGGAATAAGGTCACCCTGGGGGAGAGGTCCCACCCTACAATTGTCCTTTGCTAGTCACCCAGGGCTTTCCACCCTGGTGACCTTCTGTACCTAGCCTATTGTCCTTGCTCTGCTCACGTCTGTCTAACTGCCTACCAGCTCCAGAGGTCAAGGCAAGGCCTAGAGGCAGAATCCAGAGTAGTGGACAGTACGCCCTAGGCTGGTAATGACGCCAGTTCCCAGTCTGGGTTCACTAGGGAGAGCCTGGCAGGGATTTCCCGTGATGGCTGCTGCACTTTTGGGATCTGCCCCACAGGACTACCTCTCACGCAGGGACCCCAGTGATCCCTCTGGGAAGAGTTTGACCTTTAAGCAGGACCATCGGCAGGAAACACAGCAGCTTCGCTCCGTGCTGTGGCGACTGGCCTCCAGGTACCTGCGGCCCCACGAGTGGAAGAAGCTTGCATATTGCTGGGAGTTCACTGAGGCCCACGTTCACGCCATCGAGCAACAGTGGACAGGTAGGCCTTGCCTGGGCACCCAGAGCAACCAGCGGGGGGAGGGGCACTTGGGGTGCGTTCCCTTTCCTGTGCTTCTGGCGGAAAAGCCCACCCACACGAACCCTCCTGCCATTTCCAGCACACCACGTGTTTTTTCACTTCTCCAGGCCTTTGCACAGGCTGTGTCCTCTCTCTTTCCCTCCCCACTGTCCTGTGAACTTCACATTCTTCACGAATCAGCGGAGCTGATGCCCCTGTTCATACAGGAAAATGAAGGCACCAGAAGAGGAGCTGCTGCCGCCACTATTACTTCACATCTATTTGGAAATTTTGGCCCTGGTACTAAGGCATGAAACAGAATTAGAAATGAGGGCAAATATTGGAAAGGAAGAGAGAGAGATACATTAATTTCAGATGCTATAATTATATACACAGGAAGTCCAGTAGAATCAACTAAAACACTTTTAGAATAAAATAATCCAATGAAATACCTACCATCAATAAGTGGGCAAAATATATAGAGGCATTTATTAAAAGATATTACTTTATAATAGTATGTGTTTTATAAAAAGAAATATGAGTGACATATGAGTAGAACAATAAAAATTAGTTGACGCATGAAAGAAGACTTGGGTAAGTGGGATGACATTTTGTATCCCCGGCTGGAAAAAAGTGTCCTGTAGATATTGATTTTTCCCAAATTAGATTAAAACTTTGATCCAGTTTTAATCAAATTAATATAGTAGATTTTTGAAGTTTGACTAAAGGATTCTACAGTTCACATGAAAGAATAAACAGGGAATATAGAAATGAGTATTTTGGGGGGAAAAAAGAGAAGAAAGTCTAACCCAACCAGAATCAATCGTTCATAAAGCTAAAATAACTAACAGAGAGAGATACCTGACATAAACAGATGCAAGCTAATTAGTGGAATAGCGCAGGGTGTCCCAAAGTAAGCTCTGTTACAGAGAAGAACTTTCATAGATGATACAGGAGCCCTGCGGGCAGGGGCTAGTGAATCAATGGGTCGAATGAAATTGCCACCCAGAAGCGGCACCACGAGGAAGCCCACTGAGGGCCCACAGAGGGCCAGGAAGTCAGACACAGAGAGCACTGACCTGGACCCGATGTCTGTGCTCATCGTCACCGTGCCTGAGTGTGTGTCCCCAGCTAGGAGAGCAGACCTAGTCACAGAGTTTAATGACAAGTTAACCCCACCACCAGCACTGAAAAGTATGAACACTTCTTTTCCAAACATGGTCGTACATTGGACTCACCTGGGAAGCTTTAACACCACTCAGTGCCTAGGCTGCACCCAGACCCAAGTTTGTTGGAATCTCTGGGGGTGGGGGGGGACCTAGGTGTCAGTATTTTTTAAAGCTTCCCAGGTATTCCCAAGGGGCACTTATGGTCAAGAACCACTGGTGGGGGGAAAGACCGTGCCCGCGCTGTCTCTGGCGAAGCTGTCTTCTCCTCTGTAGGACAGGCCCCTGGCTCTCAAGGCACAGATTACCCTGAGCAGCCAGCGATGAAGTGTAGAGTTGTGTACATTGTGGTACCACAACAAGTGCCAATTATTTTTCTCTTAAGAGTGACACCAATAGCATGGGTGATAGATGCTCAGGAGGAAGCCTGGGCTGGAGAGGTTCAAGGGTCCCCAACACAAAGCCTCTACTCTCACCCCAGCTGAGGCTGCTCTGCCCCTCCCCTCCCCATCTCTGGGCTGAACTCCTCTAGAGCACAGAGAAGGGCCTGGAGTCCAGGAGGCAGTCCAGGGCAGCATAGACACGTGCTTAGACCTGGCTCACGCTAAGTGGGCCAGGCGAACTTTCTCCTTTTCTCCTCCTTCATGGTCCTCAGGCACCAAGAGCTACCAGGAGCATGGCCATCGGATGCTGCTCATCTGGCTGCATGGCGTGGCCATGGCGGGTGAGAACCCCAGCAAAGTGCTCTTCGAGGGCCTCGTGGCCATTGGCAGGAGGGACCTGGCTGGTAAGAGCATCCCCTGCCCAGTTCCTGGTCAGGGCAGCTCCCGGCCCAGGGTTGGAGCTGTGTGGCCCCTGCTGGAGTGTGGCAGAGCCTTCCAAGGGCTGCTCAAACCACAGTGCCGTGGCGCTGGCTCTGAGCCATCAGGTCCCTGGTCCTAGCACTGCCTCTTCTGGAATTCAGGCAGAGCCCTGGGCAGATCAGAGCTTCCTGGCCCGGTTTCCCCGTCCGTGCAAGGAGGGTGTTGTCCCAAGTGATTCCTATGATGTTCACAGCCCCAAAGCCAGTGACACTACAATCTCTCCCTCTCCAGACCTCTATACTTTGATTTTTTTCAGTTTAGAATAAAGCTGGAACAGCCTGCAGAGTTCTTTTTCACAAACATTAAGACACATGGGCCAGAATTGGCTTAATTCGAGTTGAACCAGTCAGATCTCACAATTTCCAAGGCCATCATGACATTTGAATTCCAGCTATTAAACAAAAAGAATGAAATAAATGAATTTTGTAAATGAAACGCCAAAAAAGAAAGAAAGAAAAATCGTCAGTCCCCAAAGCCTAATTTGGTATTGAGGGCACCCCATGGAACCATCAGTCAAGAGGGATGAAAGGTTCTAGTACTAATTCCTCATTAAAAACAGGTCTGCTCATGATGACAAAGCCTTAAACAACATCCTGTCCACTGGCATGGTGCCCTCCGGGACACCCAGCATGGGGTATCAGGTTGTCACCGATAGTAAAGGCTACATTAGTCATGTGGCAACAAGGAAAAACGTTGAGAGAATGTATCGAGGGAAAAGGAAAGCCCCCTGGATGCTGGCTACTTCACAGCCGCCCCAGGCAAGGCAGGAAAACAGTCATTTCAGAGTGGAGGGATTGGGTTTAACTTGTCTTTTTCCAAAGTGTTAAATATTGCCCTGGCCAGTTTGGCTCAGCGGTAGAGCATCAGCCCACGGACCAATGAGTCCTGGGTTCGATTCCAGCCAAGGGCACGTACCTCGTTTGTGATTCATCATCGACCCTGGTCAGGGTCATGCAAGAGGCAACCAGTCGATGTGTCCCTCTCACATTGATGTTTCTCTCTCTCCCTCTCTCTCTACCTGAAGATAAATAGAAAAATATCCTAGGGTGAAGATTAAAAAACAAAACAAAAACATAGTGTTAAATATTGTTGTTGCTGCTTCTTTTAACACAAATTCTGGCAGCTAATTAAAACTTAAAACCAGCCCGTTGAGGGAGAGATTGAGCAACATTAGGCAATAGGAATCTTGTCTTTTGCAGAAAGCATCAGGAAGAAAGTAAATGCCGACCCGAGTACCCCCAGGAGGTGCACAGCCATGTAACCAGAGGCGCTGGACCTTCAGGAGCCTGGGCCCTCAGGCTGGGGGCCACTGAACAGAAGACCACCACCATTTAAGGGCTTAAAAAAAATCACTGTTAACAAACCTCCAGCTGCTTTTACTAAAACACAGTCATGCAGGGCCAGCAGGCAAATGTTTGTCATTTCTTTCTCAGTGATTGGTCCGGGGGCCTGTCTCAGGTTTTGTAGGTAATCCCTTCCCACAGGTATGGTCCTTCACATCTCTCAGCTCACGTTCATCTCCGTCATCTCAGAGCATCACAGGGTGCCAGGGCCGTCTGTTCAGGAGGACATGGGCTCAGGCAAGAGAAGCAGCTAATCAGGTGGTAAGGTGAGGTGCTAAACCCAGCATTCTGGTCCCCCGACTGGTGGAGGGCTCTAACCATCACTTACAAAATAGACCACCCTGAACTCATTCATTGGCTTTTATTAATGCTGTGATTTCTCCATAGCTGTTTTTGTTCCCAAGTTTATTTGTACACTTTGACAGTTCCAAGAGTTACACACTCTCGTTTTGAAATTTTTTTAAGTTTTAAAACATTTTTTGAAATCATTTCAGACTTACAAAAATGTTGCGGAAATAATACAAAGAATTTCCAAACACTCTTCACAATACAGCTTCCCCGAGTATTAACATCTTACATAACTAGAGCACAATTTCCAAAACCAGGAAATAAACACTGATATAATGCTGTCAGCTTATCTGAAGACCTTATTCAGATTTAGTCAGTTGAGCCATTTTTCTGGACCAGGATTCAGTCCAGGACCACACCTTGCATTTAGTTGTCATTCTCTTTTTTATCGCCCCATACAAAGCCTCACCTCTCTGGAGCAGCTCTGCTCAACCGAACTTTCTGTGATGACGGGGACGCTGTGGGTCTTTGCTACACAGTCTGTTTGCCACTAGCTACCTGTGGCTATCGAGTACTTGAAATGTGGCAAGTGGCAATCATATTGGATGGCACAGCTGGTCTGGAGTTTTACTTCTGGGTGACAGGCAAGCACAGGTTACTGTGCAGCTCAGCCACACCAACCCGAAAGTGTGGTTCCAGGGAGATGTGACTTTGGAGCGTCACAGATCTGTGCTGGAAGCCTGGCGGTTCTGCCCGCAAGCTCTTTCTGTCTAATCTGAGTCCTTGTGCATGTGGCCCAGCTGGCGATGCCAGCAGGGGAGCCCACAGCTTGGAGAAACTCCTCACAAAGTTACCCATTGGGCCGGAGTCCTGGGAAGGAGATTGGGTAAAAGTCATTCGAGCTGAAAGGCGTTTCAGCTACAACACATGGCTGGTGGGCGTTCACAGTGGTCCGATCCTCTGAAAGGCAGTGTGGCACTGTCCACCAGAATCACAGATACCCTTCCCCTTGGACCAGCAACCCCACACCTAGGAATTTACCCTGCAGATAAACCCGCAAACATCACGCTCACATGAATGCACTACAGGGGAAACTGCCATGGAGAGGGGCATACGGGACCCTGTACTGTTTTCTAACAGTTTTAAAAATAAGGTCCATTAATAAAAAAAAGACCACAAATTAAAAGTTTTGAAAGAAAGGCTTTTAAACCAGGCATTTGACAGGCAGTGACCTGATGATCTGAGAGGTGTCTTGCCTGAGGCCTCACAGTTCGCGTGGTCAATCCCGGCCCAGCACACGGCCTCCGTGCCAGGGGCTCCCACCCTCTGCGCGCTGTGTTGAGGTGCAAAACCCTCCTCTTTCATCTTCCATTCGGGAAAGGTTATTTTGTACTACGTGGAACTCAGATCATTTATCTGGATGAATTTTGTAGAGGTTTTTTTTTGAGACAAAAACAGCAAGTTCTTGAAATAAAAATGAAATGTTGAAGTAGCTCTCAATACTTGTTTCTTTTGTTTGGGAGATCTGTGGCACAATTTCAAACCAGACAAGCTGTTGTGGATTGTCTGTGTAATCCCAACCTTTCAACTCACCATCAGCCGTCAGCACTGACCGAGTGTCCTCGGTGCAGGCAGTCTAGTCTGCTGGGAGTCAGGGGGCGGTGAGGGGCTCAGACACCAAGAATGTAATAGAATTCGTTTGGTGCTGTAAGGGTGTATGCAGAGAGCCATGGGGTTTAGTCTTCCTTGGAGAAGGTAAGGGGGAGAAAGGAGAGAGGCTCACCCAGAAGGTAGAAGCAGGCAAAGCACATTCCAAGCAGAAAGTAGTCTATACAATTGCACGGAGGTGTGGACATGTATCTGTCTGGAGAACTGTGGTGGGAACACAGGAAGCATGGGAGGAGATGAGCTGGAGGGGCAGGAAGGCTGAGGGGCTGGGTGTGCAGAGGGGCGGCCCTTTTCAGCCCCCCACTGAGCCCGTTCCAGTAGCCCCGGCGCCCCGCCTCCCTCAGCCTGCATCAACTGCCCAATCCATCCTCCTCCCACAGCCTGCTTTGCTTTGATCCTTAATGAACATCTTGCACCCAAAGTTTCATCTCAGCACCTGCCTCCGTCTGAGGCATGGGGGTGGAGGTGCAGGGATGGCGGTCCAAGAGGGCTGAGTTTCTAGCTGGAAAATCTGAGGAACAGTGGTGCTGGGAACTGAGATGGGGTTTGGGAGAGGTTTGGGCATGGGGACATGAGTATGGCTTTTGCCAGTAGAGTCTGGGGTGCCTGTGGAACACTGCCCAACAGATAGGCCTGAATAGGCACTCAAGGCCAGCCCTCAGAATTGGTGAGGACTGGAAACGGCGTCATCAGGGTGTAGAGCCAGGGAGGAGCCAAAGCTGTTAGGGGGCTGCTCGCAGGGGGAATCTGAGAAGAAAGTGGAGGGCAGTCCTGGCTCATCACTGCCTGGGTGAAGGGTTTCTGCCGGCCACGTGTACAGTGGCCTTGCCCACAGGAGCTCCGTTTGTTGGGAAGTTACGATGCACACAGTGAAACTAGGGCAGCCTCGAGACTCGATGTTAACAGTTAAAAACGGCAAGCCCTGCCTTCATGGTTCATCAACTGCTTCCATGATTCACAACACTTGTCGAGGCACAAGGCAGTCAGGGAAGACACTGTGGCCTTTCTGGAAAGATCACTGGCTTTAGGGAAGATCAGACCCAGCTTAGCATTCCAGCTTGGCTCCTTACTGTGGGATGCTGAGCAAGTCTCCGAGACCCCACCTGTAAAGTCAGTTTAAAATCCGAAAGAATATGGCCAACTCAATATTCTGAAAACTTAAAGGTTAAGAAGCATGGATGCCGATTTGTCTAAACTGTCCCTCAGAGAAACCAAATAGTTAATGAGGGAAAGTTATAGTTATTTTTTGTTAAATCAGTGGACTGATAAAGATGATGAAAATTTGAGTATCATCACTGTTCTGCAGCCCCTAATGAAATGATGCTTCTGTGCAATGAACAGCAATGGCAGCTAAACCATCAGGGGAATTTTCCAATGACTGGATCTGGCTGACAATGCCTAGGGCCACCTACTGATCTTAGGAACCTAGACACAGACATTACACCCCCTGAAGTTCCCAACAGGAAGCACACAACTCCATCTATGAGGCATTCCTGCCAAAACAAAAATGAGCTCAAACTTGCTCAAGTCTCTACATATAACTATCTACCAGTTTATGGAAAATATCAGGGAATACCAGGGACAGAGAAACAAGTTAAGGACACCGCGAAGTTGCAATCAGCCAAATCCAGACTGTGGTGAATTCTATAGGGCAAACAAGGCTGTTTCTTCAACAAATAAGTGGCAAGAAAAAAAAGAGGGCAGAGGAACTTATAGTTTAAAAGAGATTCAAGAGACATTCCAAATACAAAGTGTGAACTTTGTATGGAAGCTGATTAGAACAAGTCAAAGAGATGTTTATGAGATAGTCATGAATGGGAACATTGACTAATGATATGAAGGAATTGTTGGTGCACTTTAAAGTGTGTTAATGGCATTATAGAAATTTTCTCTCTTAAGGTACATAAAGAAATAGATAAAACCATATGGTATAAGAAATGGCTTTAAAGTAATCCAGTGATGGGAGTAAATGTGGAAGTGAGGGTTGGGTAAAAGATGACACAACACTGACCATGACTCGTAACTTCTTGAAGCTGGGTGAGTGGGTCATGGTTCGTGATATTATTTTATCTCCTTTATGTGTGTTTAAAATTTTGTCATTAAGGGAACAAAGAGAAGGTATGAAGATTACCTGGCACACAGTAGCAGCTCAATAAATGAAAGCTGCTGTTATTTTGCAATGAGCAAACTGTGCTTAAGAGAGTAAGTAACTTACCAAAAGTTACACCAAATTGGCAAACACCACAATCTGCTTCTCAGAAAGTCCTATGTCTGCGTAGCCTGGTCGGGGAGCTACGATCATCATAAAAGCCACTCACTGAAATTGAATTTTTATTCCAAATGACTGTAATGGCTAGAAAGACAACAGCTAAACTCAAAACAATCTGCATAACTGGAAATTAGAAGTATTTGATTTCTCTGGGAACGGTGACAACCAAGAGAGCAATAGCCCATGTCCTTCTGATACACAGTCTGGATGCGCAGTATTTATAGCAAAGAACATAAAAAGAAAGAAAGGAAAAAGGAAAGGAAAGGAAAGAAGACAAGGAAAAAAACCCTGCAAAATCCCAAACCTCAGAAATTAACATTCACATAAGAATACAATGGTGAAGACTTTTGGTAGCAAAATTTTCACAATTCTTAAAATGGGAGTCTTCAAAAGTGCTTCTTCAAATTCAAAAGCTAAAAAACCAAAGAGGGAAGGTTACACTGGCTTAGAAGAGCTGCCACCTGTCACGAAGGTGACAATCAGTCCTACTTCCCAACAGTGATAACCGGTGAGCCTGACGAACTGAACAGAGAGAGAGGCTGACTGCGGGCACTGATGTCACTGATTGTACAAGAACATGCTGGGTTGCTCATCATCACCAGCCAAAGCCCCAGCTACTGCTCCTCCTGACTGATGCTGAGGTTGCCTTTCTGCACCTCGAGTTCCTCGGCACTGACCATCGATGGGTCGATGGCCGCGTATTTGGTTCCATGGAATTGCAGCAAATGTATCTGTAGAGATGCAGAATCATTATTTTAAACGTCACCATAGTATAGAAGTGCTTTGTACTTCTAAAATTACAGAGTAATACATACTAATTAGAGAAAACTAGAAAACACAGAAAAGTCAAAGAAGTATTTTTTAAAAACACAATTTTGGATCTTTGTTGCTCATTCAATATGAAACCAGTCTATCCAAGTTCCTCCGGACTCTTCATGAACATCTTAAAGGGTGCCTGCTGCTCCATGAGGAGGTGTCTGCCTTCCCCTCTGCTGCTGCGAGGCAGGTCCTTCCCATCCTCTGCTGCTCTCCCTACCACCATGCTGAATGTCTCTGGGCACCAAGTTTTTCTGTATTTGGGATCCTCTCCTTAGGATCCATTTCCACAAGTGGATGACAAGATCAAAGGATGTGACCGTTTTTTTTTTTAAAGAGTCTTGATACTTTCTGCCAAACTGCCAAAGCAATCATTTCTCACCGATATTCTACTCCCCATTTAGGCAAAAGATGAAGAGTTGGTGTTTGTTATTATTATTATTTTTTAATGCATTAAAAATAGATCAAGAAGTCACTTCATGGAACTCGGATTGACACTGTTTAGGTCTGGTGTCCTGCTCTGACTGAATTCACTATGTCCAGGAGGCGAGGTCACGTTATACCAAATGGCTGCTTCAGTGTGTGGAGGTGGGTGGGCCTGCCGCTTCGAGAAAAGGGATGGTGGGCAGAGACTCACCAGGAATCTCTATCTGATATGTCTGCTCGAATTCACCTATAAATTATTAATGTAAACACCAACTTTATTGAATCAATGCCTCATTCCTACAGAGAATTCTGTAGTTCTCTTACTCCACCACAAAAAAAAGCTTTATACACCTTGGGTTCAAAGTACTCTGGGTTCCAAGCTGGGACGCACCTGTACATAAAGAGTCACCTCCGCACTTCTGCACAAGTAGGGGAAATTGCCTCCTGTTTTCAGGTGAGCCCTCCGGGCATTAGGATACAGTTTGTACATTTCTTCTTTAGCTTCAGTTGAAAGTGCACTCTGGTCAAATACCTTTGAAAAAAAGGCAAGGTTGAAACCTACTGGTATTTTAATATGTTCTTTTCACATCATGGAAAGTGCCAAACTAAGCATTTCTTTCTCGTGAAGAGAGACTGATGAACCCCTGTGCAGTCTGAGCCACCTCCTCCTCTGATCCCCGGTGACCCTAATCCCAGTGTAGGACATTCACTACACATTTTGCTGCCAAACGTCTCTTGCATTCTTTATTGGGAAAATTCTCCTATGAATTTCCTTCTTCCTCAAACACAGCTAACTAAACAAATAGAATATTAACAGTTAACAATCATTACTGAAAATGCCAATTAATTTTTTTAAAAATCATAAAACCCCCAAACTAGTTTTTAATTTATTAGTTCAAAACAGCTACATAAATAGAATATGCTCAGTAAAAAGAAAAAGGAAGGGAGGGAGGGAGGGAGGGAGGGAGGGAGGGGAGGGAAGGGAAGGGGAAGGGAGGAAAAAGAAAAGAAAAGAAAAGAAAAGAAAAGAAAAGAAAGAAAAGAAAAGAAAAGAAAAGAAAAGAAAGAATCCAAAAATATTTAAAGAGCATAAGAAAAAGTCCAGACCCTTTCCTGGGGGCCACTGCTAGCAGTTTGGGGCATATGATTCTAGACATTTTTTAATGCCCTACAAACTGATGTTTATACACACATGCAAAAATGTTTTTCAAAAAGTAATTTAAAAGAAGCAAAAAAAAAAAAAAAATGCATCTCAACATGCTAAAGCTCAGTTTTCAGCGACCATGCACCCAGATGGTGGGCAGTTTTGAAAGATAAAAACTGTGAGGAGCGAGCATTTCACTAAGTGCTGAAAGGCTTGCTCTACGTTACAGTAAACTTCAGAACGCACACATTATAGTGGAAAATGATAAGAAGTTATTGTTTACATGCTTATAATGAATAATTTCCTGACAAAAATCAACTTTTCAAAATACCCTGTCATTTGAATTTTGGAATAAATGTATTTTTGAGGCAAAATAGTTATATGATATTAAAAAAATATATAAGCCCAAACCACAGTGAATACCACTTCACATCCACGAGGTTGGCCATTATCAAAATGACAGAAAATAACAAGTGCTGGGGAGGATATGGAACAAATAGAACCCTGTGCATTGCTGGCGGAAATGCAAAATGGTGCAGTCTCTGTGGAAGACGATATTGTGGTTTCTCAAAAAGCTAAACACAGAATTACCACATGGCCCCGGCAATTCCACTTCTAGGCATATACCCAAAAGAATTAAAAGTACAGACTCAGACATTTGGACACCCATGTTCAGAGCAGCATTATTCACAAAAGCCAAAAGGTGGAGACAACCCAAATGTCCATAAACAGAAGAGTAGATAATAAAACATGGTATATATATATAATGGAATATTATTCAGCTTTAAACAGGAATAACGTGTTACAGCATGGTTATAGGAACTAGGAGGAGGGGCAGTGGGGAGACAGAGTTTCAGTTTGGGATGAAGAAAAGTTCTGGCACTAGATAATGGTGATGATTGCACAACATTGTGAGTGTACTTAATGCCACTAAACTGTACACTCAAAAATTGTTAAAATGGTTGATTTTGTTATGTATATTTTACCACAACTCAAAAATATAAGAAGTTTTTGTACTAATTAGACTTCAGGGAATCTCGATTCTCCGCCCTCCCAAGGCTCCTTCTGTCTGCTGCCTAGATGTGTAGTAAAGTGCAGTGTCTATTGATAAGAATAACAAAAAGACACCAAAATGGGTAATAACTACCATGTTGGTTTAAATTCATTCTGATTTAGATGGTGTGATTTCTGACAGGAAAAATTTAGGATAAGCAATAGATAGATTATTTTGGAATTAAAAAAGCTGAGGAGTTAAAAAAAATCCAAGGCTGCATCTGAAGAACATTGAAAAATTATAAAATAATTATGAGGAGGATCTTGACATACACATTTAAAAAGGTAAAGCATCTGTTTTACTTAAAAGGAAGCTTACATCCATAATGGTCACAGGAATGTCCCGAATTTTATGAGGTTCCACATAAGAATTTTGACAATTCAGGGTAAGTCTTGAAGCCAGTTCACTCTGACCCAAACTTTCCAGCTACAGAAAGAAACACAGGTCAAGTTTGTGAATTAATGTTGTTTTTCACATTTCCATTAAATCCGTAATATCTGTGCTTATAAAGGAGGTATCATGTGTGATGGGGCAAGAAAGGTCACCGGTAAGAAAACAATGTATTTGAGAGGCATCAACTAGGACTCTAGGTGGTGGCATTCTTCTGTTCTGGGAACCTGGCCTTTCATAATCTTCAACCTGAACTGCTTACTCAACTCCATGCCTGGGCAGCAAGCCCATTCCCGCAGCTCAAAGACGATAGGTAAACATTTAGGTGATATTAGAGCTGGATATGACCTCAGAAAAATCATCTAGCCCAGTAGTTTCTAAATGCAAGTCTAGCTCTGGCTGGGTAGCTCAGATGGTTAGGTCGTTGCCCCCGATATGCAAAGGTTGTGGGTTCGATCCCTGGTCAGGGCACATACAAGAAGCAACCAATTCATGTATAAATAAGTGGAACAACAAATTGACATTTCTCTCTCTCTCCCCCTTCTTCTAAAAAAAAAAAAAAATCAATTAATAAATGCAAATCTATAGACCTGCTACATTGAATTCACAAGGGGGAGGTAGAAGGGGTGAGTGCAATAAAAATACAGGCATCTCAGATCCCATGCCCAGGAATTTCAGTCCGATGGTCTGGTGTGAGGCCTTGGAATCTGTATTTTGAAAAGCTCCCCACAATGATTCTGATGAATTACCAGCAGTAATATCTTCTGGATATATTAAAGTTAATACAGAAGACTACTTAACAAGCACCTCTAATACATACTCAATGAGACAGATTTATCTTCAGGAACTAAGAAAACATAAAAACTCTCAGTACAAGGTGTCCCCACCGCAAAGCTATGATCCTTACCCTGTCCACCATGAAATCAATGGCATCAGCCATCACAGGGTCCACTGGGCCAGATGAAAAGTTTCCAAGAACTATTTTTTTGAGCATAAATGATGGCATTAGCCAAAAGCTGTAAAACAAAAACGTGATAATTTAAACTTCCAAGACTACACAGAAGTAGCAAATATGTATTCAACCCTAATGCATTATATTAGCTAGGTACTTGGGATCTAGAAATAATAAGACCTAGACTCCTCTTTCAAAGCGCTCAGAATTTTTTATATACACTTCCCCAAGCTCCCAAAGAGTTATGTTTAATATGATTGAACTTTTGAGGATCTGAATAATAAGTGATATTTCAAAATACCTTTACCAAGGTAGATACTCTGATGATTCAAAGACTGTTTTTTTCCCCCCCTAATTGGCCTTATTTCCAGTGCTACACTGTTTCCTTTGGAAGATTGAAAACTTAAGATATCAACCTTCAAATGTATATCACCTTTGGATTGACTGATATTTCAAAATAGATTCAAATGGCTAAATAAAAGTGATTGTACCTCCCACAATTTGCTACTATTAGATTCCGCTGGTCTAACTTGAGGTAATTCCACCTTTATGGATTTCTGTATATGATTAAAATAAAATTTTCCTTTCTTTATTGATTTCAGAGAGAGAGGAAGAAAGAGGGAGAGAGAGACAGAAACACTGATGAGAGAGAACATCAATTGGCTGCCTCCTGCGTGCCCCCCACTGGGGATGGGGCCCACAACCTGGGCATGTGCCCTGACCGGGAATCAAACCAGCGACCTCTTGGTGCATGGGTCGACACTCAACCACTGAGCCACACCAGCCGGGCTGTATGTGATTTTTGATGGATATTTATTCCATTAATTACAACTGCTGAGAGCATTACATAAGGTAAAACACTAATTTCTCTAAGCCTATACTGAAAATTACTTATAAAAGGTGCAGAACCCCTTCTGATGCATATTCTCAGTAGAATGGCCTTGTTGAAAACTGAACTTCCCTCACAAGTCTTTCACTTACCAAAGTTCTTCATCTTGCCCTCACAGCTTTCTTATCTTCTAAGAGGCCCGATGCCTATGTACGCTCTGTGAGGGGTGGACGCCTTTGGCCTCAGCGTATGGCACAGAGTAAGCGCTCAGATATTTGTTAAAAAGCAGCTTATATGCAAGAGCACAGAATAGTTTCTGACGATTGAGGCACTACAAATCATCAAGCCCTGGCTGGTGTGGCTTGGTTGGCTGGAGTGTTGTCCCATATATCAAAAAGTCACAGGTTCAATTCCTGGTCAGGGCACATACCCAGGTTGCAGGTTTGCTCCCCAGTCAGAGGGCATTCGGGAGGCAACCAATCGTTATTTCACTCTCGCATGAGTGTTTCTCTCTCTCCCTCTCCCTTCCTCTCTCTCTCAAATCAATAAAAGCATGTTCTCAGGTAAAAATTTTTAAAAAATCATAAAAAATAATCAATGAGTTTTAGTACATCACCTTGTTGCTAACGTATATATGAAATTGTTGCATGAATGCTGAGTAAACTACTGAGATGACATCAGAAAACATTTTTTAAAATAACAGAGCACAATCTTAAGTAGATGTGAAAGCCATGAAAACATCATTTACCTATATCATCATGTGAAAACCAACCTGATAAACAGGCATGTTTAGTCACTGGGCCTTTTTTTAGGGTAGAGCTTAGCCTTGTTACAATGAAAGAAATGCACAGTCAGTCAGCTTTTAGGTATCATTAGATACCTATCAGACTAATTAAAATGACAAAATCAATGAAAGGATGGCTAGAGGAAGCAGGTGTGCCCCTGGTTGCCCCACAAAGCAGTCCACCATCCCCATCTTTCTGAAAAGCAGATGAACACTAAGTGTCATGACCTACAGAACATCTGCTGACAGACTAAAAGCTCTAGTCAATCCATTTTGGGGAACATATCTCAAGGAAATAAGCCTGAAAGGGAAGGAAAAAAGTAATCTGTGCCCTGGCTGGTTTCCTCAGTGGTTAGAGTGTCGGCCCGCGAACCAGAGACTTGGGTTTGGTTCCTGCCAAGGGCATGTACCTTGGTTGCAGTTTGTCCCCGGCCCCCACTGGGGTCAGGTGGGTGGCAGCCAGTCGATGTGTCTCTCTCACATCGATGTCTCCCCTCACCCCGCTCTATCTGAAGATAAATGCAAAAATGTCCTCAGGTGAGGATAAAAATAGATAGATAGATAGATAGATCGATAGATAGAAAGAAAGAAAAAAGTAATTTGTGCCTAGCCAGTGTGGCTCAGTGGTTGAGTGTCAACCCACACACCAAGAGGTCGCTGGTTTGATTCCCGGTCAGGGCACATGCCTAGGTCATGGGCCCGATTCCCAGTGGGGGGCATGCAGGCGGCGGCCATTCGTTCTTTCTCATCGATGTTTCTATCGCTCTCTCCCTCTCCCTTCCTCTCTCTCTAAAATCAATAAAGAAAAAAAGAGTAATTTGTACTAAGATTTACAGAACATGATGAAAAATTGGGAGAAGCCAAATACCTAAAGAAACCGTGTCAATCAATACACAGAACTTTTTACACAAAATAAGTGGAACAAACAGAACACAAGAGTAGTTGCATATGCACTGAAGAGAAACTGTAAGAGCATATGAATGTAGATTAAACAAAGCTACACAATAATTTAGAGTAAATGAAAGTTGAATTCAGAGTTCATTTGATTCTTTTCTTTCGCCAAGGTGACTATTTCTAATTTTAAACGCTAGGGCAGATTCAGAAGACAGAAGTAGGAATGTTGGCCAAATGTTTACGTTCTTACCTGTTTGCGGTCCAAGTTTGATTAAAGATAGAGGTGTCACTGAAGGAATTGCAGAGGATGAGGGAATGAACTCTGGGAGATTTGTGAGTATATTCAGCAAATTTCTGGGCCAAAAAGCCTCCTAAAGAAGCCCCAAAAAGATGAACCTAATTGTAAACAAACACAAGGAGGATCCTATAACAATGATCAATCCTGAACATAAATATAAAAAGCTGTTTTAATTGTCACCAACCACAGAATAGAATGTCACTACTAGCAACAGACTAAACTATCTATTGCAGTTGGAATTTTAGGAAATATTGTATTTAAATGCAATTTATACATCTCTCAAGAAAACAATACAACTATGCATATAAATTATGTAAGTTAAAAAATACTGTTCACAGATTACATTAGAAAATGAAACCACTTAGAAGTTTCTGTTTAAGAAAACTATGATTCAGTAATTCCACTCTGTCCCCAAGCAAACTGAAAACATATATCCACACCAAACTTGTACATGAACATTCACAGCAGTGCTGTTTATAATAGCCAAATATTCCTGAAACAATCCAAATGTGTGCCAACTAATGAATGGATAAAAAAAATGTGGGCTATCCACACAATGGGATATTATTTGACAATAAAAAGGAATAAAGTACTGATACATGCTTCAATGTGGACGAACCTCAAAAACTTTATGCTAATCTCAAGAAGCCAATCAGAAAAGACCACATATAGTATGATTCCACTTACACACAATATCCAGAACAGGTAAATCCATAGAAACAGAAAGTAGAGTAGGTTGCCAGGGTTGGGGGGAGGGTGGGTGAGGAGTGACTGCTGAGTATGGGGTTTCTTTTGGGAGTGGAAAAAGTTCTAAAATTGACTGTGGTGACTACTGCACAATTCTGTAAGAACCTTTGAATTATACACTTGAAAAAGGGTAAATTGTATTGTATGTACCTTTTATCTCAAAAAAGCTTTATTAAAAAATAAGAAAAAGACAACACCAGGCTTTAATGCAAATGCTGCATTAAAGTCACATGTAAGTAATTAGTTTCATGGTACTCACTTTATCCAATTGTAAATGGTCTAAAAGCTTTCTGAATCCATCACAGAATTCGAGATGGTCCCAATAAACTGGATATTGCAACTAAAATAATAAAAACATTTTTAAAATTTATTTTATTTTTTATTAAAAATTTTTAAAAACTCATATATATCTGAAAAATTTAGGACTTTCATAATAGCCTTTCTCAGTTGCTCAAGCTCTGCTCCTTACTCAAAATATGTTTCTCACCTTCTCCTACACTTCAAAATTCATATTTTATCTAACAGACCAATTTTAAGAAGAATAAAAAGTAAGCACACGCTAGTGATATTACGTGCATGACAGTTTCAATTCACATCAATTTCCTTTCCAAATACCTGAGAAACTCTGAGGTTCAAAGGTGCATAGAGCCCTGGCCGGTTTTCCTCAGTGGTTAGAGCGTCGGCCTGCGGTCCAGAGAGACCAGGGTTCGGTTCCCGCTAAGGGCATGTACACCTTGGTTGCAGTTTGTCCCCGGCCCTGGTCGGTAGTGCGGGTGGCAGCCACTCGATGTGTTCCTTTCACATTGATGTTTTTCTCTCTCTCTCTCTCTCTCTCTGTTCCTCTCTCTCTCTCCCATTCTACCTGAACAAAAAATGGAAAAATGTCCTCGGGTGAGGATAAAAAAAAAAAACACAAGGAAAAAAAAAAAAAAAAGGTGCGTAGAACAGAACCCGTCCAAGTAAAGAAATACTGTTTCCCCTTAAATCCAATTTCATTCTGAATTATGGCTCAGGAGAACTAGAAACAAAATCTGTTCTAGGGAGAATTTCCTCTCTTTTGGGTAGCATTTCTTAGAGTATTCACTAAAATTGTTTCTTTCTTTCAGTTGACTTAGTCTGTATGATTTCTTGAACTTTGTTTTTTTTGTGACCAAAAAAGTATGGTGCTTGACCCTAAATTGTCTGTCTATTAATGCTGATGATGAGAAAAAGAAAAATAGAAGTCACTAATTCTTTTCTAGGGAACTCAGCTTGTCACCTAAGAATTCCCTCTCTTTAATAATATGTAAAACCTATCTAACAGGCTTGTTGTTTTAAGCACTTAGATTCATTTTGTCATTAATAAATCATTAGAATACATACTGCCATGTATATTATGGGGTAATTTCAGATTTGATATATTACTTTTACTATTAAAATTCCATTTGTGGATAAGATTCTGCTATTTGAGACAACATGGAGAAGAGACTCTCCCTAGCAGAAAATTTGAGAATTTGAGTCAGATGATAACCTGAAAGAGAGATGACAGAGAAAGGGAGAGGGAGAGGGAAAGAGAGGATCACAGATGTGAGAGAGAAACACTGATTGGTTGCTTCCCATACCCGCACTGACAAGAGATTGTACCTGCAACCTTTTTGGAGTATGGGACAATGCTCCAACCAACTGAGCCACCTGGCCAGGTGAAGCTTACTACATACATAATTGAGTATAAGAAAGACTGGAAAATCTGAATAAGATGGGTGGGTTATATTAATATCAATACCCTGGTTATGATATATGATGTTTTGCAAAATGTGACCATTGGAAGAAACTGGGCATAGTGTATACGGAATACCTTTCTGTAGTATTTCTTACAAATGATGGGAATTACAGATTTCATTTTAAAATTTAAATAAAAACAGTATTTGTGCATTTTATCTGATAGATGCTAACAAATGTCTAATAAGTTTCAAAACCTCATGGGATTGGGCATTCTGTTCAAATTGTAAGGACAAAGTAATTTTGAAAAAAAATTTTTTTTCTTTAATAATTTTAGAGAGAAAGGAAGGGAGAGAGAGAGAGAAACATTGATGAGAGAGAACACTGATTGGCCTCCTCCTACATGCCCCTCACTGGAGATTGGGCCCACAACCTGGGCGTGTGCCCTGATTGGGAATCAAACTGGCAACCTCGTGGTGCATGGGTGGACAGTCAACCACTAAGCCTTACCAGCCGGGCAGGCCAAAGTAATTTTAAAACGCTGTTGGTCTTTTCTTGTATCTAGCTAATGAAATAGGGAAATGCCATATCAAGAAGCTTAAGGGCAAGAAGAAATATCCAGCCAGAAGGCAAGTTATGGGGACCTGCCAGTTTGGAGTGATAAACAAAGTCAGCTTTCGACAGCGCTGTAAAGTGGGACAGAAGCCAGGGGCTGTTCAGTCCTCTCCTCTCTGTCTGATCAACAGTGGCTGCCAGGAAAGGTCGGGTGGGAGGCTGCAGAGTGCTGGGTCAGGTGTGAGGCTGCAGAGTGCTGGGATGAGGGTGGTTACCACTCTGCTCTCATGGAATGCTGTCCACGAAGAGGGATTACCGAAATCCTAGAACAAGAGAGGTTATGTGCAGATACTCAAACATGCCATATGAGGAATGCTTCAAGAATCTGGAGGACTTTAACCAGGAAAGAAAATATTTAGGAGGAAGGCAGCAGGCAGTTTCTGCCAATCGCAACTAGTTTTCTCAAGAAAGAAAAGGGCTGTCAGGAGGAAGAGGAATTGGATTTGTTTTGTGTGGCCCCAGTTGGTGGTGATCTGGGTAGAATTTTTATTTATGTTCCCAGAAAAAAGATCTGGCCCATATTTTTCTCCCATTAGACAGTAAATAAAATGTGTAATAGCAGTAGCATAAAAATTCTATTTGCATTTTAATATGCCAGGTCCCAGAAACAACTGCCAGCTGCAAAGTAAGAGCCTCCTTCCCTGGAAGTTAGGAGATCAACCTCCACTGTCCTTATAGTCAGGGCATGCCAAGGAAATGGTGCCAGCAGGTGCCTTCCCCACCCACACTTTTCTCCCAGAGAAGAAGGCTCAAGATGATCAATGGGAAACTATATTTAGACCAGATTCAGTGGTAAAAGAACAACTAGAAACCAAAAAGTCCTTAATCAAATACTGAGGATATAAGCTAATTATTGAACCTCACTTCAACTGCACAGATGTACATTAAAGGAAGCTTTCAGTCACCTGGATGTTAGCAGATCTCTTTGCTGTCTGACAGTCTATGCTCACCTCCCCCAGGAGCAGTAGTGTAATAAACGAGGAGTGGAAATGGAGTCAGGAGGCTGAGCTTGGTTCTCCCTTCATACCTACTGGCTGTGTGACCTTTGGTGATCACTAAAATGGCCTGGACCTCAGTTTCCTCACCTATGAACAAGGACAGTGCTTCCTACCAATCAGATGTGTGAGAAGAGTGGCAGGAGGGAATGTACAGGAGAGCTGGGAGTACAGAAGGCTTCTGACAGAGGTTTGCCCCCTCTGCATCTCTGTGTCTGTGTGCCACACCACTTTCCTTCCAAAAGCTTCATTTCATTTAAAAAAAGGAAAACACTATCTTATCTCAATAAAAAATGTGCCCTTCACTAGGGTTGATCAGAAACAGAAGCAAAAAACCTACAAAATATGGACCTGAATTGGAATATTAAATCAATAATACTTACAGCTATAACCCGGTAACCCCATCCAGTCAAAGCCAAAATCTGTCGGAAAAATACATCTGCAGTCCCGCTGACTGGAGGGAGAAATATGAGAGGACACCTGATATTTCTGGGACCTGCATCATAGAGTGACCATATCTTACTGTCGTCATCATCCACGATAATCTGGAGGGAAAATTAGAAAAAAAAAAGGAAAGTCTCACGGATTTGGTTTTTGTATTGTTAACTTCACACTATAATTTCGCTGACAATTTTAATACCACTGTTTTGTTTGTTAAAAGGTAACCTCTCTGTGTGTGTGTAGGGGTAATGGGTCATGCTAGATTAGTATGTAAAATAAACTGTTTGGTTTCCTTTTACTTCTTTGGTGCTAAGAAAATATTCCAGAGTTGCTTTTTGCTCTTCCAAAGAGCTGCTTTTTCAACCAGTTTTTAATTTCCTTTTTCATCTGTGATTACATGAATTCTATTTTGTTTACCATCAAACAGTAAACTCTGTACATGGCACCTTATTTCTTCCCCGTGCGTGCGTAGAAGGGCAGTCTGCAGGGTCATTCTCCAGTGCTGGCCCAGACTGGGATCAGCAAGGTCAAAGTGTGAACAGGGGAGGCAAGACTTCAGGCTCTAGGGAGAAGCTGGATAGACAAGGTACCACTCAGGAGATGCTTCAGGAACCTGATCTAGAACAAGCTTCCAAAGGGGAGATTTCTACTAGAGAGGAGGGACAAGGCAGGTATGGGTGTTACCATCCCAGGAGAATGTTTCAAACAATTCAGATGGGTGTGGGGAGAGGGCCAGACAATTCCCTTTTGGATTTGCCCAGGTCACAGGTGGTCGCAATAGTATCTCACATTCATATTTTTGTCCTTTGTATTTTGCCACTCACATTTTAGCTTTTCATTCTTTTTTGTTGCAATTGGTAAAAATCTCTCAATGGCCTTTGACAGTGCATGTAGTAAATCTCAATCTTTTTTTTTTTTTAATCCTCACTCGAGGACATTTTTTGTTCAGACAGAGAGGGAGGGAGAAAGGGAGGGAGGGAGAGAGAGAGAGAGAAAGAGAGAGAGAGAAACATCGATGTGAAAGGGACACATCGAGTGGCTGCCACCCGCACGACCAACCAGGGCCAGGGACAAACAGCAACCGAAGTACGCGCCCTTAGTGGGAACCGAACCAGGGCCTCTCTGGACCGCAGCCCGACGCTCTAACCGCTGAGCCAAACCGGCCAGGGCGTAAATCTCAATCTTGTAGTAATAAAATTCATATGAGAAAAGATCTCTTGCCCTGGCCAGTTTGGCTCAGTGGTTAGAGCACTGGCCTACAGTCCAGAGAGACTTGGGTTCGGTTCCTGCTAAGGGCATGTACCTCGGTTGCAATTTGTCCCCAGCCAAGGTTGGGTTGTGCGGGTGGCAACCACTCGATGTATCCCTTTCATGTCGATGTTTCTCTCTCTCTCTCTCTCTCTCCCTCCCACTCAATCTGAACAAAAAAATGGAAAAATGTCCTCGGATGAGGATTAAAAACAAAAAAAAGAAAAGATCTCTTAAATTTTCCAGACAATTATTCCAGTAAATAAATTTGGAAGAAAAGTAATAAGAATAGCATGTTCTTTTCTTTCTTCCCCTTCTCCTATATCATTGAGATATAATTGACACAGTATGTTCTAAATATAAGCCATAAATACTTAAAGGTTGTTTATCACTTCAACTTTCTCAGAGTTCTATGAATGGCAATTTTGTCAGTATTCCTTTAGAAGACATAATATCTGTTCATTTAAAATCTAGCACCACAAGCCCTGGCCAGTTTGGCTCAGCGGTTGGAGCATTGGCCCTCGAACCAATGAGACCCGAGTTCGATTCCAGCCGAGGGAACATACTTTGGATGTGGTTTGTCCCTGGCCCTGGTCAGGGTTGCAAGGGAGGCAACCAGTTGATGTGACACATCGATGTTTCTCTCTCTCTCTCTCTCCCTCCCACTCTGTCTGTAGATAAATGGAAAAATGTTCTCGTGTGAGCATTAAAAAAATAAAATAAAATCCAGCACCATGAAATTTATTAAGCAAATTTATCATGACTTTTTTGTGGACCAAACTGATCTAACAACTGCAGAAAATCACTTTAATAAAACAACGTCCTACAACTGTTTCTAAGACTATTTAGATAAGTTGGGTTGTTCTGGGTCTGGTGATCAGCTTGTTAAGTGAGTCCATCAAGAGGAGGTCCTATGTCCTGGGCGGTTTGGCTCAACGGTTAGAGCCTCGGTCTGAGGTCGAGAGAGACCCGGGTTCAGTTCCTGCTAGGGGCACATACCCTGGTTGGTCATGCGGGTGGCAGCCACTCGATGTGTCCCTTTTGTGTCGATGTTTCTCTCTCTCTCTCCCCCTCCCACTCTATCTGAACAAAAAATGGAAAAATGTCCTCAGGTGAGGATAAAAAAAAAAAAAAAAGAGGAGGTCCCATGAATTAACTGAAAGGGATGGGACAAAGTAGAGGGACTCCAGAGGCCAATTCTCTTTTTAGCATGGGTAGTAGTTCCCCAGGTAGCAAGAAGAAAGGCTCTCTTTCAGAAGCAGCCAAGTACTTCCAGCTTTGAAGCCAGATTAATTTTATTTTAATCCCGACCCTACCAGGCTATGTGACCTTTAACAAACTAACCACTGGGAACCTCAGTTTTCTCATCTATAAAATGGGCACACTACTACCCACTTTGTTAAATACTGAAAGAGTTAAAAAGATATCTGGGGACTTCCTATAACAGTGCCAGGTTATACAGCAGGTATTCTGTCTATACTCAAATTTCTTTATGGAGAGTAATTATGTTATTAACTCAAATTTGCATGATACTTCCACAGCTGTCTACCCTGAAAAAATAACAGAGACACAGATAATCTTCAGATCATAGTACTCTAATACTTTTGCAAGAGGATCAGCAAAGATTTTACTCTGTGACTGGAACAGCCTTTGTCTAGTATGATCCCCAAACATTTAGGATTAATTTGGGAGTCAGAGACAATACTAATATTTCAAAATAAGTGTCTGGTGATTTTGGACATCCCAGGGAAAAAAAGTTTCCAGAAGATGAGCATGGCAGAGTGAGCATATCATTGCTAACAGAGGATCTCTAGTGTAACCCACTGTAAATCTTAAATCTGAGGAACAGAAAAATGCTTTATAATAGACTCTGACTGCCTTTACTGTATAGTTGCTGTAGCTGCAAGCTTTCCACTAAACTATACTGAGGAATACACATATTCTTGCTTGCTTGAATATGTAAAAGTAACGATAAAATAACAAGTATAATTATATACCCTTTTACTCTTGAATGAGTCTCAAAAGTTGACTGTACTTGACAAAGGGGGCAAACATTATGCTGTGCAACACAAAGTTATGATACTTGGCAGTAACCTTTACTTTCAAACACTACTAAGACATAACATCTAAATCACACACAAAAACAACATAAGATTTTGCAAATAAGAGATGTAGTAAAACCATACATACCTTTTTAAGGGGAACTGTACTTCTAAACCAGTTATAATCAGGAGAGACTTTAATCTCTCCCATGATTAGCTGAAATGGAGGTTAACCCTGAAATAAAAGCATGTGATGTTTCATGTCAAGAATTCGTGTTTACATCAGAACTAAACGTAGAGTCTGGTCTAGCGATACCAACAATGCGTACTTTAAAGGGCAAAACTGAGGAAATGGGCTATTTTTACCTCACTGGTACATACTTAAACCACAGAAAACAATTTGGTGAAATGCTATAATCGTAGAGCAGGACGAGCCCCTGACAGATATTCAAACCTCCTTAGTTCCTTCAAAAGAGGAATCTGGTCTAGAAACTTTAAACAACTTACCAGAGATGCCACGGTTATTGCAGAGCTAGGACCAGCGGCATGGCAATCTTTTCTGACACCAGATTGCCTGTCCTAGTTAAATCATCCCAAACTGCAGTGCCATCCCTTATCTTTTGACAATATCTTATTAATCCATTTTAATAAAGATGTTCCTGTCTGACAGAATTTTGGGAACAGTCCACACTAGAGAAAGGAGTTAATATAAGTCTGCTTCCTGATCAATTCACCAAATACCATAAATCTAACTCTAGTGGAACATAACTTCAGAACCTCACATGTAGTTTTTAATGCAAAATAAGGAAAATTGCTGTTCATATTGGTGTGATTAAAAATGATATAATATCCTCTGAAAGATCTATGATAACATACCAGGATAGGCTTGAAGGCCATAGAACTAGCAACCAAACGGAAAAAATGCATTTAGAAAAAATGTGTGGTCTTTTGCTGCAAGATTAGTGATTTCTAGCTTTTACAGTTCTGTAATCTTGGAACAGTCACTGACCCTTTTTTGGCTTGTTTTCTCATCTATGACTATTTCACCATGGTATCTCCAAAGCCTAGAACAGTGCTTGGCACATAGCAGGTATTATCTGTTGACTAAATGGGTGACTATGTCCTAAGGAGACTGAACTAGGCAATCCTAGAGTCCCTTCTAACTTGAGCAACTATGGGTTGAACTGGCTGAGGATCTTCAATTTAAAGGCTGCTCTCTTTGCTCAGGCATGTGTGTTATGTCATAACAGGAACCTGAAATTATAGTTCCCTGTGGCAGATTCTTATTGCCAAATGAAGACCTTCCACCCATTGATTTAAAAGGATTCAAATAATTGCAATGTACCCTGCCCCTCCTCTACACCAAGGCAAGTCTGGATTTCCTAGCAGGGCTGGAATGAGTTTCAGACCCTAGGATTTAACTTCCGGGCTGACTCGGAGCTGTCGTTTTAGAAGGGCTTCTCTGAACTGACTAGGAGCAGGGGATTCTAAAACCAACAGAGCTCTTCCTCCTTGGCCCTCCACATCTTTTCCCTCAGGCACACAGGGCACTCAATAGTCTCAACTGTTACTTCTAACCTTGGGGGGGTTACTAAATTGAACCCCAAGGAAATGGTAAATGTAGATATCCAATATTAAACTTGATTAACAAGCTCGACATTGTAATAATAATGGTCTCTTCTCTCAAGGCTAACAAGGTACTTTTAGAAAATTTTGTTAAAATCATAAGTTGCTCTAAACTACCAAGCAAATCATTAACTAGTCTTATCCTGAAAATCACCGTGCATAGATATAGTTATTATTTGTATGGAAATAAAAAAAATCATGTTTTATATATCCATTTTCTCTTAAATATTAATATGTTAAAAAATCTTAGCCATTTGAACTATAGCCTTTCTCTGAACTGGTCATCACTTTTAATTAAAGCAACTAGCACATACAGTTAATTCTGGAGTATTTCCAACCTGAACAGACTTGAAATATTCCTGTGTCTAAATACTTCCTAATAGAGACATATATTTACTATTACATTACTATAAACAATTATTATTTTACAGAAATATCAAAAACACCACAAAAAACTACCCAATAGATTTATAAAATACCTTAGCTAATTAAAAACAGAAATATCCTTCTAGATTTAAACCAACTTGGCATAAAACAAATTATTCATAGTGTGGAATCAACTGCAGTGTACTAACCAAACTACTAGACAAGGTACACACATTCACTGTCATCCACTTCTTCCCACAGCAAAAATAGAAAGATGTTCCTTACCACAGTCCTCAATATTATTCACAACCAGCCCAGCATCTAACATTTTATAACTAATCCTGCTGGAGAGATTCCTGTGACTAAATTTTTGTAGAGGCAAGTGATTTTAACACTTGTGATAGTTTGGCAGTACATGAAAGGTAAGACAGATAGCAAATGCTGCCTATGACCAACTGACATCGAAGTGAAAAAAACTTCACTCTGCAAAGGGAAAGCAGCTGTGAGCAGTATGAAAAGGAAGTTTGTTCTCCCAGCTCTCTTTCATCCACTAAAGGGGTATACTTTTCCAAGTCACAAGAACATTCTGTATATTGCAAAAAAGGTTAACTGAGATTGTGACCAAACTGGTCAGGATTAAAAAAGAAAGAATGTGGACCATGAGCTCAACACTGATTTGATCTCTCACAATTCAATTCTTCACCAAAACAAAAGCACCTATTCATGCTGGTAGGGAAAGGGCCCCAGAGATTAGCCTTAATCTTGCTCAAGGAAGCCCCTCCTCAAGGAGTGCGCTGGACACCTGGTCCTCCTTGGCCCTAGTGCTGCTCGACAATAAAACTGCCAGTGGTGAGTGTGCACTAAAAATTACCAGCATTTAAGAGTGAAAAAGATGAAGGGATTAAGAAGTACAAATTGGCTGTTAGAATGACGAACCTCAAAGGGAAGGGGGGAGGTGGGGTGGGAAGAGAGAAACCAAAGAGTTTATATGCATATATACATAACCAAAAGACACAGACACTAGTGTGGGGAAGGCAGGAGGGGGGAGAAAGTGAGGAAGAGGGGGTAAAGGGGGGGGCGCATCTGTAATACATTCAACAATAAAGATAAGTTTAAAAAGAAAAAAAAAATTACCAGCATTTATGTCTCAGAGTTTCAACAGAATTTACCAGTTTACAGTCAGTGAAATCACCTTTATCAACCTTTGTTACCTAACTAGCTTAACTAGTCAGAGGTTCTCTGAACCTTTATCTCAATCTGTAGTTGATCTACATATGGACAATCTGTGATTATTATTAATACCACAATGACAAAATATTGAACCAGGCAATTCAAGCAAGTCTCCGTACCTTACCACACCAGTAAATAGCTATCCCTTTTTAGAGTTCTTCAGAGGAAGATTTCTCTCTTTTTTCTCGTGAACCCTGTTCCATTATCTTAACCTAATGGGAGAAAAAGCTGCCTACTTGACATTTCTTTGGAACACCTCATTTTGTTCTGTCTTGGTATAAAAGCTTTTGGAAAATTGCACACAGCTATTAAGTTACTCCTCAGTCTCTTGAATCTTTGTGCTAACAGGAGCTGGAACATTTAGGTGGAGAAGCAGCTAAATGCAGAATCCATAACTCCCCAGGAAAATGAGAAGAGAAAAAGTGAGACAATATAGCCCTGCTACTTTTCTCAACCCCCATTCACAAGTCTCACACCTGGCCCTACTCAGCAATGACAAAGTCATTTGTCACTTTCAGGCTGAGGCACAATCTCCAAAATAACTGGCCTCTGCTCAGAGTTCTTAAAAGTTTACTGTAAAACATGTATGTCCCTGGGCTGCAGCAGAGGAGCCCCAGGATTGGATTACCGGAGTACGCCCTGCTCAAGCGCCCCTACCCTCACCCCAGAGGACCCCCACCCAGACCCCCATCCTCTCCCAGTCCCACCGGTGACAGCAACACAAAGGCAGGGTCACAGGCACACCGACCACCCCAATAAACTCAATGAGCTCAGTCTCTCTCTCTCTCTCTCTCTCTCTCTCTCTCTCTCACACACACACACACACACACACACACACGGACATGTGATCACGTGCACGGTCACATGGATCGGCCCACTCACAAAGTAACACTGACTGAGGCAGCCGCCTACACTACATACTCACCTGCAACCCCATTACACATCACACACCACACCCCCGCTTCCCAGGGCCTCGCCCACCTCTCACCTGCCGTGGCCGCCCCCACGTCCTTTTCCCTCCTCCCTAAAGCGGCTGTTCCGTCCAGTACAGGAGCGGGCCGGGAAGGTGGGGGCCGGCGGCCGGGGCGCTCAAGAGCCGCAGCGCAGCAGGCAGCGGGGGCGCACAGGACGGCCGGCCACCGAGGGGCGGGGCGCGCGGCCGAGCGAACCTGGGCCGCCCCGCTCCCTCCTCCCGAAACGTCCGTGCATCGGGCGCCACTCTCCCGCTTCCGGGTTTGAAGGGGGTGGGGCCACGTTGTGAGGAAGGGGCGGGGCCGCAGGGCTCCGGTGGTCACCATGGCGACGGGCCGGGTGAGAATCTTTCTGCGCTCTCGCTTCTTCCCGCAGGCTGGGAAGCCGGCGACCGCCTGGGCAGTGGCGGCGAGGCGGGGGGAGGTCCGCGTTGCCTCTGGGTCAGCTCTGGGTCAGCTCTGGGTCACCTATCTAACGCGGGAGAGGTTATGGGAATGGGGTCGCCGAGCCCCTTGGGCCCTGCCTCTTCCTTCAGTTCCCGCCCCATAGGTGGAAGCAGGTTCCCCCTCCACCGTGTAGAGCTTTGAGGGGACCCCTTTGAGTTCCAGGCTTGGATGAGCAGGGCTTTGCGTCCTCTTTTCCTGGCAAGTTTTTTTCCTTTGGCACAGCCACAGACGCCCTCCATAGTCCTCCACTGTAACGTACCCACTTCCTTTTCCAGATTCGTGCTGACATTCTGGGGCTTTCTGGGAACAGCTCCCACGGAGCCTCCAGCTCCGTCATCACTTTCCCTCGAAGGAACAGAAAATATTGATATATTTATAATAATTTTTCTTAAGCAAGATGTTGCAGGTGTCATGACTTTTTGACTAAAATATTTGCTGAAAGAATATATAAGATTGAATAACATTCAAGTCTTCTTGTTTGAAATTTTTAGTGATTTTGCCACAAAGTCCTGTGCTTCTCCCTAATCTGTTTTAGGGAAAACTTGTAGTCTATTTATTTTTAATATTTTTTCTTTATTGATTATAGAGAGAGAGGAAAGGAGAGTGAGAGAGAGATGGAAACATCGATGAGAGAGAGATGGAAACATCCATGAGAGAGAACATCGATTGGCCGCCTCCTGCATGCCCCCCACTGGGGATCGGGCCCATAACCTGGGCATGTGCCCTGACTGGGAATGGAGCTGGCGACCTCTTGGTGCATGGGTCAATGCTCAACCACTGAGCCACACCCATGGGGCTGTACTCTGTTTAAATGCCTTTGGATTTTGCCCTTACCCCAGGCAACTGTTTATGGGGTTAAGGTTAGGGGAGAATCCTAGTAAATTGCATTCTTAGTTATGACCTCTGCCTTCCTGCTTAGGAGCCTTGGATCTCAGTGTAGAACTTGGACAAATCCCAAAAACATTCCAAGAGCACGGTAACATGTTTGCAGCACTCCCACCCCCCCATCACCTCTTTTGGAATTTCAAGTCAGTCATAAATAGTAGTCACAGGTGTAAAGGGCATGTTCCTACGGAAGATTTTTAACCTTGGGGTTTTCCTCAAAACTTTGGAATAGTTTAATGAATAACTGGCAAATCACTGGTGTATGTAAACCCATTATGGGTACTCATCACGTTATTTATTAGTTCAACTGGATTGGAGCTTTAATTTAGGGAAGGGGGTGGTGGGGAGGAACAGGGTGATTCAACCAGTCCCTTAGCAAATGATCGGGCTCAGTAAATTCATTTACTATCCATAGTAAATGAATTAATGAAAGAATAAATAAATCTATCCATATGTACTTCTAAAACCATAGTCCTTAGCCCGGCTGGTGTGGCTCAGTGGTTGAGCATTGACCCATACACCAAGAAGTCGCCGGTTCATTTCCTGGTCAGGGCACATGCACAGGTTGTGCACCAAATCCTTAGTGGGGGACATGCAGGAGGCAGCCAGTTGATGTTCTCTCTCATCGATGTTTCTAGCTCTCTCTCCCTTTCTCTTTAAAATCAATAAAAAAAAAAAGAAAAACAAACAAACAAACAAAAACCATCGTCCTTAGATCCCACTCCTCAGACCTCACTTTAGCAATAGCCCAAATATATTACAAGTCCTTATTCGGTTTGGCAACAATAATTTTTAACTTGATAATGAAAAACCACTTCACATATGCTTTGCTACATATATACTTTTATTAAAATGTAAAAGTCAAACTCAAAATAATGTTTTGTTTCTCTTAGTAAAGGACCCCATGGTCATGTTTGGATCCTCAGTTATTCCATAGCACATGGCAAGCACATTGTCCATTTCCTAATCCGAATGAGGGACATTTAATATCTGTGAATTCCAGCTGTCCTGTAATTGCACAACTGCTGGGAGCAAACTTTTGATCCAGGACAGGCCACAGTACAGACAGACCTGGTGTTTAAGGCTGTGAGGGTTTGCAGCTGTCATTGTTGGGGTCTGCCAGATGGTTCCCACAGCACCATCCCCTGTGTGAGAATTTCACTTAAAAACTGGAATGTTCACAAAATACTCTGTGAATACCAAACAAAGTAACCAGATGGCCAACTGGCTCTCAGAATTGCCCAAACCCACGCTTTATCCCTTCAATTGATCTCTTGACAGGATATTTGTTTTAAAACACACATGCAAAATAGTCCTAGATATATCTCAAATACATGTATACACATCAAACAGAATGGTGGTTACCTCTGAGAAGAAACTGGGGGTGTAAGGGGCGGTAAAGGAGTACTTTGACATTTAGATTTAGTATTTGAATTTATATAAGAATATATTAATATGTTATTGTGTAATAAAAATAACTAAAAGCAACTATATTCTTTTTTTTTTTTGTATTCTCACCCGAGGATATTTTTCCATTTATCTTCAGATAGAGTGTGAAGGGGAGAGAGAGAGAAACATTAAGAGGACTGGCTGCCTCCCGCATGACTCCAATCAGGGCTGGGGACGAATCGCAACCGAGGTTCGTACCTTTGCCTGGAATCAAACCCAAGACTCATTGGTCCTCAGGCCAATGCTCTAATCACTGAGTCAAACTGGCCAGGGCTATATTCATGTTTTTATTTTTTATTATTTTTATCCTCACCCGAGGACATTTTGCATTTATCTTCAGACAGAACGGGAGGGAGAGTGGGGGGAAGAAAGAGAAACGTTGATGTGAGAGAGACACATCAACTGATTGCCACCCACGCGACCCCAACCAGGGCTGGGACAAATTGCAAGGGAGATATGTTCCCTTAGCAGGAACCGAACCCAGGACTCTCTGGTCCACGAGCCGACACTCTAACCACTGAGCCAAACTGGCCAGGGCTATATTCATGTTTTAAAATCCTGCCCTAAACCTTGTTCTAAATCCTTCAATAGCTCTACTCTGTCTTAAAGCTAAAGTCCGAGGTGCACAGGCTAGAACAGGCCTGGCTCTCTCAAAGGGTCCTGAACATTCTCTGAGGTCTCAAACCTGTAGGCATTTGTATATGCTCTTCCCACCATTTAAAATGCCTCCCTCCCTTGACCTACCAGAGTAATTTACCCCTATTTTACCCCCAAGAACTGTGGATGTGTGAAAAAGTCAAAGAGGAACAAAACACTTATTTTTTTACACTAATACCAGTTCTTGGAATAACATCCTTTCGAAGCTTTTCAGGGTACAGTTGACCACAGTGTTATATATCAAATTATACTGACAACCAAGACTGAAAATGAGTTTTCTCGTTGCCAGACCAAGTCTGTGTCAAATACATACCACACTGGAGTATAGGGATCAGACACTGAGTGGGGATTCTGGAACTTCCCAAGAAAAATACTGATATGACTCTCCTACACCTTGCTATCTAAAGGTCCTATCAAACACGTTATATACAGTTATTTATAATTAATAGTTTATTATCATTTGGGAGTTTAAGAAACCTGAGTTCTAGCCTTGGACAAGACATTTCCTCTTTGTGGGAGTGGTTTCTTTTTCTATAAAATGAGTCCAAGTTTAAACTAAATGATCTCTAAGTTCTTTCTAATTCTAAGATTTTAGATTTTATATATTTATGAGAGATATATTACAGACTTTACAATAGCCTTTCCTCAAAGTTGCTTCTCTCTGATAATCCCCTCCACCCCTGGCCCATTGCCTCTCCCTTTCCAAGAAACTTTTTTAAAGTATCACAAAAAACAGCCTGGTACTGGCACAAGAACAGGCATATAGACCAGTGGAACAGAATAGAGAACCCAGAAATGGACCCAAGGCAATATGCTCAATTAATATTTGACAAGTCCTGGCCAGTTTGACTCAGCGGTTATAGCGTCGGCCTGTGGTCCTGAGAGGCCCGGGTTCGGTTCCCGCTAAGGGCGCGTACCTCGGTTGCAGTTTGTCCCCGGCCCTGGTTGGTCGTGTGGGTGGCAGCCACTCAGTGTGTCCCTTTCACGTCGATGTTTCTCTCTCTCTCTCTTCCCCTTACTCCCTCCCACTCTGTCTGAACAAAAAATGGAAAAATGTCCTCGGGTGAGGATTAAAAAAAAAAAATTTGACAAAGGTGGCAAGAGTATACAGTGGAGTAAAGACAGCCTCTTTAATAAATGGTGTTGGGAAAATTGGACAGCTACATGCAAAAAAATGAAACTAGACCATCAACTTACACCATACACAAAAATAAACTCAAAATGGATACAAGACTTAAATGTGACCTGTGAATCCATAAAAATTCTAGAAGAAAACGTAGGCGACAAAATTTCGGACATCATACGCAGCAGAATTTTCACTGATACATCACCTAAGAAAACAGAAACAAAGGAAAAAATGAACACATGGGACTACATCAAACTCAAAAGCTTTTGCACAACAAAAGAACCATCAAAATGGAAAGGCAACCCACTGTATGGGAGAACATCATTGCCAATAATACATCAGATAAGGGGTTAATTTCCAAAATATATAGAGTACTCATATAACTCAACAAAAGAAAGACAAAAAACCCAATTAAAAAATGGGCAGAGGAGCTGAATAGACACCTCTCCAAACAGGACATACAAATGGCCAAGAGACATATGAAGAAATGCTCAACATCACTAATCATCAGAGAGATGCAAATTAAAACAACAATGAGGTATCACCTCACCCCTGTCAGAATGGCCGCCATCAACA